GGGGTGGGGAGGAGGGGCTGGGAGCAGACACTTACTGACTTAGAACTACATGCCAAGCACAGAAACTGATCACATCTCCACACGGCCCTGAGTGGGCAACACCATCCTCACTTTGCAGAGGGGCTGAGCTGCATGAAGAGGTTCGGTTGCTGGTCCTTGAGCCGGTACTATCCACTCTACACCACCACCTCCAGCTAGGAGACAACTTTGAGGGCCAAAAGCTGCCTTCATTTCCTTTTCCATTTGATACTTTCTCCTTCCCGCCTCCTCCTTTTTCTCTTCTTTTTCTGCATTCTTCTTGTAATTAAATTTTAAAATGCATGCACGTGTCAAAACATTTTTAAACAATACAAAATAGTGCAAAGTGAAAATTGAAAGTCTCCCTTCCTCACCACCTCTGTTGCCATCAATTGTCAAGTTCTTTGTCTAAATGACTAAAAATATGTACCCATCACATACATGGAGCTTTTAAATTTACATAAAATGATCATATTCTATAAACTATTCTGTAAATTGCTTTTTTCCCTTTTAAAAAAGCTATTGTAAAGTGTAATTGATATATAACATTAATTACTTTCAGGTGTACAACATAATGGTTTGCTATTTGTTGTTGTTTTTTTAATATATATATATTTTTTATTTCAGAGAGGAAGGGAGAGGAAGAGAGAGATAGAAACAACAATGATGAGAGGGAATCATTGATTGGCTGCCTCCTGCACATTGGACTAAGCCCGCAACCCAGGCATGTGCCCTTGATCGGAATTGAACCTGGGACCCTTCAGTCCGCAGGCCAACACTTTATCCACTGCGCCAAACCGGCTAGGGCATGGTTTGCTATTTGTATAGATTGTGAAGTGATCACACATAAGTGCAGTTAACATTCATTACCATATATAGTTACAAAATTTTCTTGTGATGAGAACTTATAAGATCTACTCTTTTAGCAACTTTTAAATATGCAATGCAGTATTGTAACTATAGTCACCATGCCCTTGGCATCCCCTTGACTTGTTTATTTTATAACTGGAAGTTTATACCTCTTGACCCCCTTCACCCATTTTGCCCAACCCCCACCCCTGGCAACCATCAGTCTGTTCTCTGTATCTATGAGCTTGGTTATTTGTGTTAGGTTTGTTTGGGGTTTTTTGTTTGTTTGTTTGTTTTTGAGATTCCACATATAAGTGAGATTATATGGTATTGTCTTTCTCAGTCTGACTTATCTAACTTAGCATAATGTCCTCAAGGCACATCCATGATGTCCTAAACGGCAAGATGTCTTTCATTTTTTATGACTGGAACCTCCATACAGTTTTCCATAGTGTTTGCACTAATTTACATTCCCACCAACAGTGCACAAGGTTTCCTTTTCTTAACATCCTCACCAACACGTATATCTTTTTTTTTTTTTAATAATAGCCATCCTAAAAGATATGAGGAGCTATCTCATTGCGGTCTTTGATTTGCATTTCCCTGATGATTAGGGATGTAGATCATCTTTTAATGTGCCTGTTGACCAGCTGTATGTCTTCTTTGGAAAGATGTCTATTCAGATCCTATGCTCATTTTTAAAAAATCAGATTGTTTTTTTGCTATTGAGTTGCATGAATTCTTCATATATTTTGAATATTAACCCCTTACCAAATAAATGATTTGCAAAACATTTTCTCCTGTTTGGTAACCTACCCATCTTGTGGATGGTTTTCTTTGCTGTGCAGAAGTTTTTTTATTTACCTTTGCTTTTGGTATCAGTTTTTTAAAAAAATCATTGCCAAGACTGATATCAAGGAGCTTACCACATATATTTTCTTCTAGGAGTTTTATGGTTTAGGTCTTACATTCAAAATTTTAGTTCATTTTTGAGTTAATTGTTGTTTTTTTGTAGGAGGTGGTGGTCCAGTTTCATTCTTTTGCATGGGGCTGTCCAGTTTTCCTGACATCATTTATAGAAGAAATTGTCCTTTCTTCATTGTATATTCTTGGTTCCTTTGCCATAAATTAACTGACCATATGTATATACATGGGTTTATTTCTGGGCTATTCTGATCCATTGATCTATGTGTCTGTTTTTATGCCAATATCATACTGTTCTGATTACTATGGTTTTGTAATGTAGTTTGAAATCAGGGAGATGACGCCTCCAGCTTTGTTGTTCTTTCTCAAGATTGCTTTGGCTATTTGGGGTATTTTGTGGTTCCATACAAATTTTAGGATTGTTGGTTCTATTTCTCTGAAAAATGCCATTGAAATTTTTATAGGGATTGCATTGAATCTATATATTGCTTTTGGTAGCATGGACATTTTAACAATATCAATATTTTCAATCCATGAGCACATTTCATTAATGTCTCCTAGTTTTCAATGTAATTTTCTCACTTCCTTGGTTAAATTTATGGCTATCTCCCCTCTTAATTATATCTGACATCTTTTCATATCAGCACATGTAAGAGCCTTGAATAGTTTCCTGTATCACTCAGAATAAAATCCCAAATCCTTACATCGGTTGACATAACCTTGATGCCAAAGTCTGACAAAGATATTACAAGAAAAAAAGATTATACACCCATCTCGCTCATGAACAGACATGCAAAAATCTTAAAATATTAGTTAACCAAATCCAGCAATGTGTGAAAAGAATAGCACATCACAATCATGTTGGATTCATTCCAGGAATTTCAATGTTAATTTAACATTCAGAAATCTGTATAATCTGTAAGTTAATAGATAAAGAAAAAAAAGGATTATGCTCATCTCATAGAGAAAAATATTTTGTAGGGAGCAGCTAGGGTCAAGCCTTGGGTTGACCTGTGGCAGGGCCACAAACAAGTCCCAGCCTGGAGGGCAGAGCTCTCCTAGCATAATTAAGCCTGACCTTGTAGCCCTCCCTAATTTCTTCCGTAGATAATGTGGGCTGTGGGAGGTGCAGCAAGTATTGCCAAAACAAGAACATTTCTATACATGTTAATCTACCCTTGTTTTAATCAGACTATAAAATAAAGCATTGGCTTGCAGGCTGGGTCTTTTGTGTCCTCATCCAGGCACAGGAGATCCACTGAGCCCCAGCTGTATTCTCTTGTCTGTCTTTTCTTCAATCCTTCACCACCCCTCCTCAGGTTCACCCTTGGCTGTGCTGGCACAGCACACTATTTGATAAAATTCTACATTTGTGACAAAAATAGGAATAGAAGGGAACTTCCTTAACCTGACAAAGGGAATCTACAAAATCTATGGTGTTAGAAGTCATGCTAGTGGACCTCTCTGTGTATAGGGCAAGTGCAAGGGGACTCCTCTTATGGTAGTAATGTTCTATTTCTTAATTTGGTTGCTCAAGTGTGGTTACTTTGTGATAAGTTGTGCAGGAATGAATTGGATACTTTACAGTATGTGTATTATACTTCATTTTAAAAGGTTGTAAAAATTTTTACAAGGAAAAAAATGTAGTTCTTCCGAAGGGTAGAGGGTATGACCAGGGAGCTGTCAAGAACAGAAGATGGTGATCAGTGGGATGAGGGGAAATGAAGAAAAGGGGATGCTGGGTGGTTATGCAGGTGGCTATTTACCCCACCCAGGATGCGTCCTTTGGTGGAGAGGAAGTTGCTGAACCAGGGGCCTCACCAGGAAAAGGAATCTCTCCTCAGCCTCACTTGGTAAAGTTGTGGTTGCATATCTGTGTCCGGGGTCCTGGGGTTTGGGGACTTGATGTTTTTGGAGAGGAGATCAGATGCAGAGGGGGATACATTACCAGGAGAAAGAAATTAGGGAGCATGAAAGTGCATACCTAGATGCCCCTCACAGAGTGCATCGTTCTAAAATAAGGGAACAGCATTCTTTACCTATTCTCCTCAACCACTTTTACAGTTGATCTTAATCCCCATAACAGCCCTGGAGAGTAGTTAACATTCTGTTTTACTGTTGGGGAAACCTTGACTCAGAGAGAGGATGACCGAGCCACAGCCCGGCCCCAGGGCTGCTCTAAAGGCCTGTCCAGATATGACACCAAGAGCAGCCACCGTGTTGGCAGCCAGTCCACATCATGGCTCCTCTGTTGATCAGCTAACAGTAAAACAGGAACATTAATATCTTGTTCTACGGGGGTCATAAGCACTGAGATTTCATGACGTCATAGGCATTCAACCCATTGGCCTTTCCCCTCTCCCACTCAGCCCACACCACCAACACATTCATCAAGACCTCGCCAAAAACATCAAGTCCCCAAACCCCAGGACAGAGATATGCAACCACAACTTTACCAAGTGAAGCTGAGGAGAGATTCTTTTTCCTGGTGGGGCTGGCTTTTCATCATGACTTTGTCCTGAGCCACCTGTTATAGATTGTGGTCCAGGGAGGTCCAAGACCCTTGCAGGGAGCCCTTGGGGTCAAAACAGGTTCCCAACAGTGCTAAGCCACTTACTTGCCTTTCCACTCTCATTGCATACTGTTCAGAGGGCTACAGGCCATATGATGACATCACCCAAGTATGATGACATCACTCAATGGTTAATAAATGTGTGCTTTGCCCTGGCTGGTTTGGCTCAGTGGATAGAGTGTCAGCCTGCGGACTGAAGGGTCCCAGGTTCGATTCTGGTCGGGGGCACATGCCTGGGTTGCAGGCTCGATTCCCAGTTGGGGGCCTGCAGGGGGCAGCTGATCAATGATTCTCTCTCATTATTGATGTTTCTATCTCTCTCTCCCTCTCCCTTTCTCTCTGAAATCAATAAAAATATATTAAAAAAATAAATGTGTGCTTGGCATCTTAGGCTGAAATGTCTATTTCAACTCCCAACACATAAATGTCCATGGATATATAATCCATATAAACAAAAATACTTGGGGGTCTAAATTATAATATAATTACGAAATTACTATCACAAAAGTCCCCATTTCCCCCGCCTTTACGCACCTCCACCCAGCCCCCCCTTCCCTCTGGCTATCACCAACTGTTGTCCCTGTGTCTATGGGTTATGTATATATGTTCTTTGGCTAGTCTCTTCACCTTCTTTCATCCAGTCTCCCCCTCCTGCCCCCCTTGACAGCTGTCAGTCTGTTCCATGTATCCATGCCTCTGTTTTTATTTTGTTCCTTGGTTTATTTTCTTCATTAGAGTCCAAATATAAGTGGGATCATATGGTATCTGTCTTTCTCTGACTGGCTTATTTCACTTAGCACAATAATCTCCAGATCCATCCATGACATTGCAAAAGGTACAATTTCCTTCTTTTCTACAGCTGTGTAGTCCTATATCCTTTTGGAATAATATGCGGTGGGCATGTATGTTTGTATGTATTCATCATACAGGCATAATAGTGCAAAAGTATTAGTGTTGTAAATATCCAACAGTAAAGAATTGGTTATACATCCATATCTTAGACTATTCTGTAGTTAATTAAATTGTGCAAAAGGTTAATATTTAATAGTACTTTAACATATTTATGATTTATTTCTATATAATAAATTGAGCAATAAGATATATATGACATAATACATATAGCTATATGTACTTAAAAATAGACTGGCAGGGTATGCAGTGATTATTCTTTTGGTTGTGGAGTAATGGGTGTATTTGTAAGAATTCTTTTGACTACCTGTGACAGAATGCTTAACTAAAAGATACTTAACTAAAATAATATTTAATTGCCCTACATAACTGAAAAGTCCAGGAGTAAGTTTGCTTCATAGCAAAGGTGGGTCCAGAGATGAAAACAATGTGAGAAAGACTTTATATTTCTCCACAACTCAGCTCTTGTGTTGCTGCAATATGTGTTTTCTTTTATTTG